GGGGAGATATCCCGACGGGAGTCGGGGCTTCAATATCGACCCTCGCTGCGCTGAACGGGGCGATGTTCCGACGGGAGGCGGGACGCTATATCGTCCCTCGCTGCGACTGTTAGGGAAGATATCCCGACGGGAGTCGGGGCTTCAATATCGACCCTCGCTGCGCTGAACGGGGCGATGTTCCGACGGGAGTCGGGACGCTATATCGTCCCTCGCTGCGAATGAAAGGGGAGATATCCCGACGGGAGTCGGGGCTTCAATATCGACCCTCGCTGCGCTGAACGGGGCAATGTTTCGACGGGAGTCGGGACGCCATATCGTCCGTCGCTGCGAAGCGACTGTAAGGGAAGATATCTCGACGGGAGTTGGGGCTGTACATAAATTATGTCCGCATTTTTCTTGAAATTTTTAATCCCCCTCCCATTATCCAAGTTTGTCTGTAAACCTGGAGGCGATTTAAAAATCGCTCCTGGGAGGTCTTGAGGGAATTTAATGTCTATGGAAAACTGGCCCCTATTTAAGTGTTTAAGTACCACCTTGAAGAAATAGGCGGCCGGATGGCCGAGAGGTCAAGGTGGCAGCCTACCGCTCTGGGGGACCCGGGTTCGAATCCGAACGGATCGAAAAAAATCCCCAGGAATTTTTCGGAGGGTGGTCTGTTCGGATATGTCGGACCCCGTCCCTCACCACCCGGCGGCCCCATTGTGGGCCTGGCCGAACCCATAATGGGCTTGCAAAAAGAGGCCCTCTTGTGCCCACAGGGCGGAAAGAGTTTAAAAAAAAACCTTGAAGAAATTGGAAAATTCCACGTGTCCAGGCACAAACCCACGACCAGTGTTTTCTTGTCAGAAAATAAGCCAACATTCTAACTAATCCAGTGAAGGGACAATGTGCTTAGACAAGATGGCACAATCCAAGAAGTCTTAACGGGTAATAATTTATCAGTAGAATTTTAAAAAATTTAGGAAAAAAAAAAATGAAGAATTTTATCATTAAAGTTATAGACGTCAATACATAGAGGATTAAAAAAATATTGTAATTTATTTACAAAACTACAAAAAATACAACAATTCGTACAAAGCAGAAGCTACTGCTTACACTTGGAGATGGGCTGCAACAAATCGAAGCATCCTGTTCCTCCGGAAACCACGTGACCTACGACTAATCTCGAAGAGGGCGATCTTAATTGTTCCTTGGCTCCTAGAAAAATACACGAGTTTTAAAATGGCACGAAGGTAAAAGGGTAATTCGGATACTAAATTGTCCTTACCGGCGAGAACGGCGGAGTTTAGGAATTTCATGGTGGTCTCGAAACTCATCTGCTGCAGGGGCGAAGAAGAATTCTCCATTCCCACGCGGTTGCAGGGTTTGTAGGCGCCGTCGAACGTCATGTAGTCAGCAATCAGCAGCAGGTGTCTAGGGTCCACTTCGATTCCATACACGGCAAACACATTTTTCACCTCCTACCAGAACAAATTTGTGTTTCATCATAATTGCTTTGACACTTCTGTCGAGTTTTCAACATAAAATATTCATTTAGTCCGACCCCACACGAAATACGATACGTGATCCACCCCCTATCTCCCCATTTTCTTGATCTTTACTGCCAAAATTTATTGGCATCGATCTAATAAACAAACCTCCCTGTAAAATTTCTGAAATTTTCGACAGAAGGCACGGGAGTTATTAAGCTTCAAAATGGACGAACAAAATCGTGCCCCCCACACACTGCAAAAAAAAAAATTTGGTTTTTTTCTCCATTCCCTACGTTTCAATGCTCCCAATCCCGAAAAGGTAAAAATCTTGTGGGGGATCATTTTTTGACCAATGGCCACACTTTTCCTCTGTTATATATAGCAGCGAAGAAATTAAGAAATTATAAAAATGACATACCTTTACTATGGCTCTGGCAGCTGCTTCAATTCCGTAAGTCCTGCATATGGCGTGAATGTCGTTACTGTAGATGCGGTTCACGTCCAAAATATTTTCGTATTTAAACAATTCCTAAACAAACAAAATCGTAAATTGTTAAAAACATTGGTGGAATGAGCATTGCTGCTCATTCCACCTCTGCTGCCATAAAATATCTTACACTTTCAGGCCATTTTTTACTACTGTAAGCATTGTATTCTTACTGTCATACTTCCCTTTAATCTAAACTACAACCGGTTTTGAATAGTTTGGAGTGGTTTGGCCATGCCGTATGAGCAAAATATTGTTACGATGAAATATTTGAGATTTAAAATTGCAGTACCTGAATGTTGACGCCTTCGGTCTTGATCATTTTTCCGCTTCCGCCTTTGGTGTCTGTGTCTTTCACCACAAATGCCCTGTTGATGCCCGGAGTCTGATAGACGATGGCTTTGGCAGCCTCCTCTTCCATTAATGTGGTCATGTCCAATTTGTTTTGATTTAATGCAAGCTTTCACAAATAAAGAATTCAAATTTGAGTATTATAAACTCTCTACGTAATACTAAAAAATTTTAAATGCCCAAGAAATTTCCAAATGAGATAATTTTCTCACCTGTACAGTTATCTTGCACCACAGCTCGGATTCTGTGTCAAAATCGTAGTCCACCAGCCAAGAATGCATCATTAACACTTTCTACAGAAGTAATTGAAAAAGGTAATTAATTGAAGAAAATGTTAAATTACAGTATTTGTAAGCTATATATACATAATCAATGCTTTTGAGGTATGGTGTTGGAGACAAATGTTTGTGCATACATTCAAAAATATCATTAGTAAAACAAAAGCACAATGTGGCAGCTCTCGTATTTTGGTCATACAATGCAGGCCAATTTCCCCAGAGATAACATTAATGGATGGCATGGTCAGTGGGCTGAGAATAAGAGGACACCAAAGAACACACTGGCTGGACACAATCATGGCTGACAAATATGCACACGAAAGAACCAATCCAAGATAGGGAAGCATGGAGAATGACAATCCTTAGGGTGATCGAAAGCAGACTTCTACCAAATAGTTAATTTGTCATCGTACATACATAATACATTATGCTAAAAATACTTTATGCAGCAAAAAAACTACTTTGAGGCTTGTAGAACCTTATGCACTGGATGCACTTTGACAATCATTTCAGATCTTCCATTGTTCTTTGATGCCACCTCTCATGCAGACTGATCAAATGACTGCAGCAGAAACCCACTTGCAGCCATGCGTATTCCGTGCTAGGAGGCACTTCTAGACACGTTCCCAGACATCCAGACACATGCTCTAACTTATTGCATGCATTGCATTCAAGATATCCTAACATTTGCCAAATGTTTTAGACATACCACATATAATATAATTAAAATAGGAATGCAGAAGAGGAAGATTGTCTTTGCAGCTTTAAACTTCTGTATTCTGAAAATGATTCAATCAAAAACAATATTTTTAGAGCTCACATGGCTCTGCTAAATTCAATAAAGCCATTCAAGTGTCAAAATATCATTTGTATTGTATACAAAATGATATTTGGCAGATGTGTGTATGTATTATACTGTTTAAGTATTGGGAAAACCTGTAGATTAATCAATATAAATAAATAGCTAAGTTTACTTACTCTTATTCTCTCATTTTTTATAACATCTGGAATTTTTTGCTTGGAATGGGATATCTTTTCTATTGGTGTCATTTCTTCATTTTCCTCCTCTTGTTCTTGTTTTATCTCTTGATCATTGTCTTCAACTTCTATAATTAGATACGAAAAAAATTTTAAACTTTTTTTGTTTTAATTTCATAAGAAAATAAAAAATATATTTTGAAGCATCCCGAGTATTGTTTGACTACTTTTTAAATTTATAAGAGCTATATCTATATATATATATAAAAATGGACGTGTGTGTCCCTATATTTTACTTTTCAGCCAAAACTACACATCGCACGTGAATGGTGTTTGTATGTGGTAGTAGCCCCAAGTCTCCGTTCGTGCACTATGGTAGTTGCGTCTCGATAGCTATCAGGGTGCGGGAGATATGGGCTTGAAAGTGGTTGAAAGTGAAAGATTTTCTATTTCAATTTTAAAAATTTTCGAATTCGAATTGGTTCGATTATAGAACGATTGTAAACGTTCCAGAAATTTGATCAAATTGAAAATAGTTCGTTTGACTGGACGTAAAAATTCTCTAATTAGTCTGGAAACAGGGGACCTAATTCTTGCATTCTGTGAAAAAGGGTAAGATTGGCTATAATGTAATTATCTTAATCTTCACTATCGTTACTTTTTGCCCAGTGAAGCAGGTCCTTGCAGCTAGATTCTAGATTACTTAGAAAAACAGTCTTTTATACATAAAAAAAAACTATATTACATACAAATGTACGAACAAATAAAAACCCAGGTCCTTGCAGCTAGTGTTATATATATATACAGTTGACCCCCTATAACATGGGTTCCTATAGTTCAGATTCCTATATCATGGCGAAAAAATTGTGGCAGTATTCATACAAACATGCTAAAAAAAACTCCTATAATTCGGTAAAACGTCATCGCCGACTCGTGTCGCAACAGGATTGCACAAACTGTTGAGTTTAAATGAGCAGCGGACCTACCAAAAACCAATTATTATTTAATGTCCATAAAAATTATATTTATAGTAATGATGTCTTTAAAGTTCAGTGAATTTTTTGCAAAAAAAAAATTTATCAGGAAGCACGCGAGTGCCATTCGATGACAATCTCCACGACGAAAACTTAAACAACGGCATAGTCTAACAGTGCACACTCGGTAAGTAATCCTACAATTTTTTGTTTATAGCATAGTTTATATGGATTATCCCCAAAAAATTATATGTATTTTAGAAATGTTGAGTTGAATTAGTCTAGAATCGATTAATTTTATGGAAGAAACCTTTCAAACAGTTGTAGCCAGTAAACTGCATACATGCCGGGCTGTGATTGGCTGGACTCCTAGAAGCTGGATTCATAAAAACAGGAACGTATCTACCGTGTTATAGGGGGGTTGACTGTATATATATAGCTTTGAAATACTTTTGGATATGCTGAAAAGTCTACTTTGTATGCATATGGGTGAGTGTGATAGTGACAGAACAACAACTGGCAAAAAGCCACTTAAGATGATCAGAGAATTGGTCTACCACTGTAGGGACTTGACCAAATTTGAGCAATCAAAAAAGCCCAGAAATTTTTTGGGAATGGCTCTTCTTGGATACATTGGACCCCATCCATCACTGCCTGGCTGCCTCATTGTAGGTCCAAAGAAAAAAAAAATCCAGCAATGAATTGCATAACTTTCCCAGCTATTATGCAATTTTATTTCAAAAATAACTTTTATAATTTTAATTACAATATAATTTAATAAAATTGTGTGGAGTGCCATCTGTTATGAGATTGTTATAAAAACCTTTTCATATTTTTAATTACTATAAAATGGAAAATGTCTAATTTTTAGGGTTGGTATTAGTTTTATAAAGTATAAATGCTAATTTCAAGTAAAATAGTCATTAAGTCCCGCCCTATTGGAGATACATACAACCCCTTTATCTCCCGCCACCTTGACCTTTAACCACCAAACTTTAATAGCATCAATGCTCCTCATATATAAGCCACCATGCCAAATTTTATTACTTAATCTTTACATCCTGAGATATTAAATGAAAGAAACACCAACACCCACATATCCACAGAATTTCTTTTGCCATTTTTTTGACTTTTTTGGATTCAGAAGGTCTCAAAACATGAAGATTTGCAAAAAAACTCAGAGGGTCAAATTTGACATGATTTCAATACTCTCCCTTGTTTTGTATACATAACAGCCAGGAAAGTAAAAGGATCCACAGAGCCAGGGAAAAATAAGATGCAAAACAGAGTTTGACAAATATGTAATTCTGTCCAAAATTTAAATATATTTGTTGCTCTCCCCATTAATTATAAATTTCAAATGTACTAAAATTGATGAGTCAAAATTATTGCCTCAAATCAATAGAGCAAAAAAACCTTGTTTTAACACTACTGTAGTAAAACTTTTATTTTAATGCAGACACATTTTCATTCTAGTGATAGGTCTGCTTCAGACATATAAGGAATGTAAAGGAGGCTATCACCAGGTCAAAAACATTTGTCTGTATTAAAATAAAACTCCTGCTAAAACAAGGATTTTTTGGTGTGTTGATCAATTAATCCAGTTTTAGAAGTGTTAGTGAGTAGTCATTGTCTTGGAGAATTCTTTTTCTACCGTCTCTCTACATAAGAAAGCAAAGAATGCATTCTAGTGATCAAAGTGCAACTGTTGGCTTTGGATTTAAGTAAATTCAAATTATATATGTGCGATTCAAACGTTCGGCAACAAGTTTCCAATAAGTAGGACCAGCCTTTAAATCAAGTCACTAGCCAATGGGTTCGAAGAAAAAGCTATAAATTAATATTGTCCACAAATTCATCCATTTGTTCAAACCAATATTGGTCCCATTAAAAATCTATTCAAAGAACAAGAGATTTTAATCAGCATACATCTGCAGATAGTACCAATTTATAATTCTATAAACATATTGAATTATTTATTGTGTGACAGTTTCCTACAATTTCAGAAAATTAGAGATATAGTAGTAGTCAATGGCTGTCCTTACAAACTTATAAAGACTGAATTAGTATAGAAAAACTTGTAGAGACCCAACAGTAAGTCGGCACAGATTCTTCTCGGATTGTATCTAACCTCATTTAGAACTCAACTCTCTTTGTGGATGGAAGGAGGGATTTCATAAAGAGAAGACTACTTAAACACAATTAACGTAATCCTGCATCGGTTAGTCAATTTCATTTGGAATACTGTTTCTGATGAAAACATCAAATATTAAAACTACATACATGTTACACAATTGCACTCCTCCCCAATTTGCCATAATTCTTGCATTCACCATAAATATCTTAATTTTTTTACTCAAGATAGTAGAAGTCTAATTACACAGGTAATGAAAATTCTATCTAGAATTGTCTAGGATGTTTGTCTTTTTGTTAGATAGAACCAGACAACGACAAACTAAATTAGTCACAAAACAGACATGTCAATGTAAATTTTATGCCAGACAGTGCAGAAAAGATCTACAAAATGTCAATTTTCTTGCTAGTGATATGTAGCATTACATAATCTAACTATATTTACAGAAACATAAGTTGAGATCACAAAAAATAGGATAACACGCTTAACAATGGTTTCAAGGAAGCAATTTGGTAACAAAAGCCTGGATCTATTCTGTCATGTTGCAGAAGTTTATTTCGTACCTGACATTTCGTCGGCCGGATTAGCCATTCTTTCTTCTTCTTCTGGTTCTTCGTATTCCTGCTCTTGATCGTGTCTGGACCGGTGTTTGGCCGACGTCGTGTCTCCATCCCCCTCCTCCTCTTCAGAACTCTCGCCCTCTTTGTCGTCCTGTATTGGTTCGTCAGAATCATTACCCCATCCAGCTTTAAAATTTCTGGTTCCTCTCTCAGTTGATACAGGTCTACATAAAAACCGGGGCAATTAAAATAATTCATGTTCAACTAACAAAAAAATTAAGCTTTGTTTATTATATTTGAAATACTTTACTTAGTTTCGGCTAAAATCTTCAACTTTTTCTTAATTGCATGAACGATCTGTTTTGTAAAACTGCTTTCCATAAATTTCAAAATCGAAGAAGGATTTACACAAAAATCTCTCTTATAAGCTTTATACGGAAGAAAAGTGAAGTGAATGCAATAACTTCTGCTCCTTTCACTAAAATCATTTTAAAAACTGATTTTAACATACATTTCTAAAGAATTATATCTAAATTTTAAAATAAGTTATCAAATTTTTTTACATTTTGACAATTTCAAAGATAAAATTACAAATATTATGCTACAAGTAGTCAAATCTAGTTTTATGTCACGAAAGGCCCTAGGCAAGCATAGATTTGCGAGACCTCTTTTAAATATAATGTAAAAAATGTATTACACAATATTTAACATTGTAAAGTTCAGTACTGAAAATTTAATAGTAGCATCCTAGCTACTATTAAATTTTCAGTACTGGGCCAATTGACAGTGCATTTGAGATTTAATCTTGGGAAGCTGAGTTAAATGAATAAAAAATTTTTTATGCGAATTCAATAAAATTCCCACCGTATGTGGCTGCCAATTCATAAATAGTATAGAAACAGAACCCATGACACAATATAAATAAGAAAATTAATTTTAACTAGAATAAATTTTTGGAAAATTTATCAGTTTCTTCTTTTTTACTTTGGGGAGTGCCAGGGTCCTTGGTCCACCTCCTGGGTGCCCCACTAAGACCAATACAAACATATATTTGTGTGAAATGCCCCAAAAATATAAGATCTTAAACAAAATCCTACATCACCTGTGCCTAAAACTTTCACCGGTTAAAACGATTCTCTTCGTCTCCTAATTTTTAACTCCGCATTCCATTAGCTCTCAAAAAGGGTTGTGTGTTTTTGTGCATAAGAATGGTTTACATCTTTTTGTCAACATTAATAACAATAATCTTAATTATTGTTTTATTTTATTTTGCTCATATTAATTTTCACTTTAAATATGCTAATTAGTTAAGATATGTGTTTTAAATTTTAAACAAGAGAAGAATTTAAGATGATATATTGTAATAAGTTAGAACAAGTTCTTATGCTTAAAATTTAAAATATGAAACAGTTATTGTACCTTGTTCCTCAAACTTTCTTGTGGATCCAACAACAAAACAAATTTTTAAACACCAATATGCGCAAGTGATGACACAGTAATGAATACAGCACAAAGACAGGAAAATGAAAAATACAAATTTTACAGTCTGTGTTCAACATCCACATTAACACTGCACACTTCCTATTCACTCTTTTCAAGTATACAAGATGTTCTTTCATATTAAATTGATTATCCTCTATGACTTTGTAAATCACTTTTTCCATACCACACATCATTTGAGATGGGAGCACTGACTTCCATATTTTACCGCTGGGAGTGCCACAAGTAGTCCTCTCTCTTAGTGCATAGTCACTTTACTATAACTATATGTCATATTCATAAATTGTAGCTATCTGTGAACATATGAAGACTTTACTATGATCACTGTAAACAGTATGTACACTGTAAAGTTTAATATAATACTCTTCACTTGAATTAAACTTTGAAATAATAAATTATATATTGCTATTCAAACAGCAACATTAAAGTCACAAACATTAATGGCAAAATACTGATATATATAATTAATTTAAATTTTATAAATTGTATAAAGAATTTAAGATGGTTATGCTGTAAGACATTAGTCTATTGCCACTGGAGATCCACATTCCAACTCAGTTCATATATTCATAACTAAGTGGATGCCTAGAAGTGGGGACATCATTTCTCGTCTCTCACTCATGCTGGTAAACAGTAATACTTTTAATACATACACAGTTGGTGACAGGCCACCATTTAGGTTTATTAATTGATTTTAAAGTATGAAAATATTCCATTTCTATTAATAATCACTTTTTCCTAGTACAGTTGCGATGATCTTTCAATTTGATACCAATTCCAGTTTTTAAATAAAGCTTTAAGGCTTAAAATTACTCAAAGAAATGTCGCATTTGAGATTAAGAGAGTCTGAAGACAAGAAGAATACGATTTGAAAGTATTAAAAGTTTCTTTTCGTAGAAATCAAAAACAAAACTTAAGAAATTTTCTTTGTTGGTTAATAATCTATATATATATATAAATGGATGTGTGTGTGCCTATATTTCACTCTTCAGCCAAAACATCACACATGAATGGCATTTGTGTGTGGTAGTAGCCCCAAGTCTCCCATCATGCACTATGGTGGTTGCATCTCGATAGCTATAACAGTGTGGGAGATATGGGGGTTGAAAAGTGGTTGACTTCGAAAATGTGTAACAATGAAAGTGTTAACAACAGAAGTGTTAAGAGTAAGCAGCATGCAAGATTTACAGGCGCAGATGTGATTTTTTTGTGTTTTTGCAAGAAATCGAACATATTTTAGACCCATGTAAAAATTCTCTAATTAGTCTGGAAACAGGGGACCTAATTCTTGCATTCTGTGAAAATGGGTAAGATTAGCTATAATGTAATCTTAATCTTAAATGTTTTCAAACAGTCCAGGACCATTATGTGTGAGAAGTGGGGATGGCTTTTGGAGACGTGTGATGCACATGCTTCAGTTGATTTTTCATTAGTAAAAGCATATGAATACCAGAAAAAGGTAGAAAGTGAAAAGTGAATAGTGAAGTGTGAAAAGTAAAAATATAAAAAACAATGTCAAAGTGTAAGAAAAAATTTTTGCAGTTTCGAATCATGTCGAAACAGAAATAATCAAACAGAAAAGCAACTTGAAAATTATAGGGAAACACATCAAATCAACGAAAGATTATGTAGAGGAAGATAAACAGTCTTTTATGTAAAAAAAAAAAAAAACTATATTACATATAAATGTACGAACAAATAAAAACCCAGCGAAGCGAGTACTTGCAGCTAGTTCTATTATAAAAAATCCAATAATAAGTTGTGTGACATTAAAAAACTTGAAATTGTGCGAGATGTCATCTGTTGAGATTTTATTAAAAAACTTTTTTTATATTATAATTAATTATTATAAAATGGCAAAAAGTTTAATTTTGAGGATAGAGATGAGTTTTATAAAAAAAATTGCAAATGCCAGTAAATAAAATCTAAGTCCAACGCCACTTGAGATACAACTTCCTCTATCTCTCCATCCTCTCAACCTTTAACCACCAAAATTTAATAGCATCAATCCCCCTAATACACAAATCTCCCTGTAAAATTTCAGAAACTTTTAAATAAAAGGCACAGGAGTTATTAAGCTTCAAAAACAGGTGAAGAAAATTTTGCTCCCCCCACACATAACGTAACGTACAGAACCTCAACTTTTTTTGTATTTATAGACCAGTGATTCTCAAACTTTTTTTCGTCACGGTACACCTCTGATAATTTAAAAATTTGGCGGCACACATGGTTACTTCAGTAAGTACCACAGGACAACCAGTGACTTTTAAACGCAGTTGGTTATTTAGGCCATGTTTTTTAAATGCCTTGGTAACTACTGGCAGTTACCGGTAACACCAGTTACAATTTCCAAATGCACCCTAGGAAGGTAGAACTAATTGAACTACTTGTATGACGTCGCTTATGTATGGGTATTCGCAGTGGCGACACATTTCAAAAATCTCGCGGCACACTAAAGTGCCATGGCACAGTGGTTGAGAATCACTGTTCTAGACATTTCAAGGTCCCAAAGTCCAAAATTCTAGACAGTCAAAAAATGACTGCCTAGATTTTTGTTAAGAATTTACCTAATGAAATATCAGAATATTTTTCATACAACAACTTTTGTACGAACTAGTTAAATGGAAATGTTTTGGGAGTATATAAATTGTGTTTCTATAAAGTCTATACTTATGATAAGTACACCTGCTGATTAAAATGACAATTTATGCATTATCAACTGCTGAATGATGAAAATGGTAACAGCATTTACCTACTATTCTGAGAGATTTGGCTTCCAGCCTGAATAGAAATCTCAAATTTTTGTAGGTGATGTAATATGAATAGAATAATCAGTAAATATTTACTATGGTTTACTGGTTATGCCACTCACATTAAATCCCTAAGGACAGAAACACACACATGGATATTTTTTCACATGGAATTATTTTGACAGGGAACTTGTAAATGTGTGTCAAAATGAAAAGTGAGTGTACTGCCTCCACATGAAGAACTGTTAGCACATGGAAGTCTGTACCAAAATTTCCGAGCAAAACTCACGAAGTGTCCTAGTCCCAACTTCTACACAATAAATATCTGTGTGTACATACTAGTGCAGAATTTCACATCTAATTTTATGCACAAAAATATCCATCTGCATATTTCATCCCTAAGGTCATATTTTTCATACAAATTCAAAAATATCATACATTTTCTTACATTTTGCAAACATATTTCGAAATAATTTTAATAATTATATCATCTTGGCATAAACAATGTGCAGATTTCAAACAAGACTATAATAAATTAGTGTACAATATACTAAATTTCACATAGCCACAAGAAACACAAAACCCAAGACCTCAGTGCTTCAACAGTATGACATATAAGCAAAACTACATATAATGAAAGTGTAAATTTCAGGTTAGATAAAACCTTGGGTCTATCTTTTTCTTTGGGAAAGAAACTGAAAAATCATCACCGATCTCAAAATACATTTCAAATACACAATTCTACATACAGATTTTATAATATTTAATATATTTAATCTTGTTAAAATAATTAAATCAATTAACATCTTACCTTTTATCTTTAATTCTCAAAGATTCTACAACTTTTAATTTCTCTAAAACCTATTTAATTGAATAATTTACAGTTATATTTTATCATTAACGCACCAAAGTTTCAATTAAAAATCTTGTATCTGATCTAATCGAATTTGGATACCTGTGCCAAACGAACAGCAGTGAATGCTTTTCTCAATTCTTCGGCTTTTTTTTCAGCATCAGGAATGGGAAGAAGAGGAAGATCCATGCTGGGAGTGGCAATGCTGGTACTTGCAACCATCAATATCTCTCTCAACCTCGGAATACCGAGCGTGACGTTCATTTCGCCTCTTCCAGCAAAGTGAAAAGTGTTGAGTGTCATCTGAGTGGAAGGTTCTCCTATAGACTATAGAATAAGAATTGGATTTAAAAATATGTAAATATATACACATGAATTTGCATTTTTGTACTGAGATTCGAGCTTACCTGAGCGGCTAGCAAGCCAACCGCTTCTCCAGGACTGGCAAGAGATTTTAAGTACTTAAAATATATGAGATTTCTGAAATGCTTTTTAGAAATCCAATCAGATGACCGATTACTATTTTTGAAAAGCGTGCGATTACAAGATATGTAGTTTTCTATGGTAGAATCAAGCTTTTCCGATATTAAGCCAAAATTAGTATCTATCTGCGCCTGAGAAGAAATAGGATCCGGACGCTTCACCCATGGCTTATTATATCTATAGCAGAAAAAAAAATTTATGACAAAAGTTAAGTGCCGATATAATTTAATTAAATTATTAGCAATAGAATGATTATGCAATAAAAATTTTGCATCATTTGATCTGCAGCTTAAGTTTACTTAATTTATAACAAATATTCACAGATTTGTCAAGCCTGTTCCTTGAACGTAAACATCTCATTTGCTCACGTGTTATTTTCGACAACATTGTCAATAAATGGGGAACTTATTGTAAAGTAATAGTTATTTTTATAAGAATAACACTTCTTATTGCTAATAATTTAGTTACATTTAAAACAGGTATTTAATTAAAAAATCCAAATAAAATTCTCAAAATACTTTTATAATGTTTTGCATAACATGTGATACTACCTTTCTTTGTCACCACTTTCCATATCGTGCCATAATTTACACAACTTTTCTTTGGCATGTTCGCATCCAGTTAGATTATTTCTTCCCGGATGCTCAATTCGAAGCTGCTGTAAAAACTCACTGGAAAATTCGGTAAAACCAGAAACTCTCAGATGATGTATGTAATTTCCGTGTCTCTTCGTCCAACTTTTTAACTGGAAAGAGAGACGACTACTATTAAAAACAATAAAAAATATATTTAATCTCTAATAAATGCATGCTTCTTTTAACTTACATCCTTTCTTAGTTTTTTTGACCGTTTGCAATCTAATTTTTCAGTCACTTCTTTTATTTCGGATTCATTCACCGCAGCATGGTAATTTTTAATCAAGGTGGGAAACTGCTTTTCTTTCAGCATTTGCATTTTTAAAATATCTAATCCATCTTCTCCATATTGATACTGTAACATTAAATTATACATAAAAAACATAAATTACTACTAAACTTTTTATAATAATTGATAAAAGCTTAATGTAATAGCTATTACCTGAATAACACTACCGTCACTATCTCTAACTGTTAAGTCATAATTTACTGTGATTCCTTCCAAATGTTTAATAAGACATCTTTGTAAATAACCACTTCTGCTGGTCTTGACAGCTGTGTCGACCAGACCCTAGTAAAGAAAAATGTTAGTTAATTAATATATTTGATTTCAAGCCCTAAACTCAAACCCAAATGGCTACAGTTTAGCACTAGAACTGCAAATGGGGTCATTTCTCACATATTCGCCTGTTTAATCTCGTATAAAATTTGTAGTTATTTTGGAAGAATTTTCAAATTTCATCAATTCCTACAAAATTTTGGTTACCTTTTAGATAAAAAAAAATCTAGTCTGAATAAGCATTATTTTCAAAATCCACACTCATATACCTAGAACTGATAATATGGGTCAGTTTTGACCCTATTGTGTTCTTCTCATTTAGAATGTTTAACCTTTCAGCAGTGGGATACTCAGGTATGATGCTACCCAAAGTAGTGGAGAATAAACATGGGAAATCTTTAAAGTATTTTTCCACACATTTTTTTTTCTCATTACCGTTTCAGAAAAATATTTTGTAAACAGTTATGTCTAGCAAAGAAAAGTCTTTTTTTATTGTTACATAATTCATTTTTTATGTGAATTTTTTTTTCACAGTAGTTTTTGGCAATACCTCCGAAAGAATTTAGCAGATATATCCGTTCCTCACCACTGCCACATGATCGCCCTGGATGTATATATCTGCCCCTCACTATAGAGTGGTTAAAGCTGATTACCCAAAAGGAACTATATTAGGTGTGGTAATATACATTGACATATGCAAGTTCTAAATATTTTCAAAATGTCCAAGCTGAAAAATAGTTCAACATAGAACATGGTCATTTGAACGAAAAAGAATTATGTCTTCTTGAAAACCATTATGTGTGAAAGACGTTTTGAAATGTCTTCGTAATAGTGAAGAAAACCAGTTTGACATAGATGAAGATGATATGCAAGCAAATATTTTGGATGACGACCCCATTTCTGCCAGCAAATCAATTCCCGTGAATGCCAAAACTCTGATAAATAAGACAACATAACAAGAAAACGATCTCAGAAAGGAAGTTGTTCATTAAGTACAAATATTTTTATTGGTTTTAGTTGGTTATTATAAAGTAAAATTTTCAGTTGTAACAAAATAGAATTGGGCGATGAAGTATTTTTTGCTTTATTTGGATTTTATTGTGGAGTATTGAGTTCAATTTAATTAGAATATTTAATTCTTGATGTAGTTTAATTAATATTCTAGGTTAGGTCCCTCGCCTCGCATTACTAACTAAGGTCTCGTGTTTGAGTGGGGGCTCACCATTAATCTGGTCTGGGGGCCCCCGCTTTAAGATATGGGGCCATGACTACAGCGCCTTCAAAATCTATCACATAAGCAAATGTAATGTCTTGCATTGGTAAAGAGGGAACAAAATAGACAATCATGGAATCTGGCTGTACTCCAGATAAATGTTTTCTACAAAATATTAGACGTGAAATACTGGGTTCTATTACTGGCTATGCTGTCTAGTAATATATATATAATTTGTAATTTGTAAAAGAGGGTGAGAGAGCTGTCGGTCTTTTAGCTGACTGACTTAGCTCGTTTAGATAGGAAACGGAAAGAAGGTTCGAAGGTAAGATGATAAGCAGCAAGAGGAAGTTAGATAGATAGGAGAGAGGAAGGAAGTGACCATGGGTTCCATGGGCGCCCGAAACGCCTCAACACACTAAGTAAATCAAAATATGGTTACAAGGTCCAATAATAGCATGAAAACCATATAAACAAAATGGCGCGGCAATACAAACAGTATTCAGGGTTAATGTTTACAATTTATATAAGGTAATATCGAGCAATTAATTAATGTAAAACAGGGGAAGTTATATGTACTGTACATGGCATATACGATCAGGAACCGTCCTTGTTATCTTCGTCTGTTTCACTTTCCGATGTTTGGTGGATTGGACTATTGTCATTCGGTGTTTGTTGCTGTTTTTTGAGGTAGTCCGGTTTTAGTTCTTTTGTTTTCTTGACGAATGTTTGAAGGCTGCACCACAGTCGTTTGGTGGCAAAGATGTCTGCCAGCTGTGGTGGCCATGTTAGTCCACTTGTGATGGTGTCCCTAAAAAATTCTGCTCTATGCTGGTGGAATTTAGGGCAGTGGAACATAAAATGTTCGGCGTCTCCCTCACTTTTAAGTTCACAGTCACATTTATTGTCCGTGCGTTTTTTAAAGCGGTAAAGGTAAGACTGAAATTTCCCATGACCCGTTAGGCATTGGGTCATGTCTGGATCGGGTTCAAAGTGATGGGCTTTTTTCCTTGCCGTTAGAGTTGGTATAAATCTATGGCAGAGTCTTCCCGTCTTGGAGTTGTCCCATTCAATCTGCCATAGGGTGTTTGTGATTGAGTTTATTTTCTCCCAGATCATCGTCATCGGTATGCGTGAGTAGGTGTGGGGGGAGTGGAGTACGCAAGCCTTTTTGGCCAGCAGGTCCACTGTTTCGTTCCCTCCATAACCTTTGTGGGCCGGAATCCAGTTGAAGTGGATGATTCTATGCATAGCAAGAGAGTTTGCGGTGTTTATTAGTTCTCTTCCTAGTCGTGTGGCTCTCCTTTTGTTCTCAAGTGTGTGCAGCACTGCCCTGCTGTCAGTGTAAATATTTATTATCCCTTTGTAATAATTGATGTTAGTGGCTATGTGAGTTAGGGCCTTGTGCATTGCCCAAAGTTCAGCCTGCATGACACTGCAGTAAGGTGCCATCTTGAGGTGTGCTTGGAAGGTCTTCCGGCCATTTCGTGCAAATATGGCCACTCCCGCACCCACTCCCCTTTCCTGTTTAGACCCATCTGTGTAGACAGCCCAATCACTTGGTGTGTTTTCTATTCCCTCAAACTGTAGGTCAACATTGTAGTGTGTTTCGTCAGCTGGGTGGAAATAGTTCCTCCCGCTTTCGTAGTCATCTATCCCGTGGCATTTTATTTTGTCTATTAAATCATCACAATTAGCTGGAATTTTCTCCTCCTTCCTGTTATTGGCCTTTCCTTGATCTGTCCATTGTGTGATGTCTCCTTTGGAAAGGTACCACTTCCATGTGAGTGCCTTGGCTGTGAGGTGTATTGGCTGTATACCTGCGAGAACCAGTAGCGCGTCCGTGGGTGTCGTCCTGTAAGCTCTACACATTTGTAGGGCTGCTCTGCGCTGAATGGACATGAGTTTCCTCCTTCCATGTATGCTATTTAATGCTTCATGCCATACAGGTATTGCATAAAGCACAGCTGGCTCTATTGCTGCCTTGTAAATGATTTTGCAGTTCCGAAAATTTAGCCCCCACTCTTTGCCTGCTATCCATGTCAGGAAATTTATCTTCTGGTTAGTTTTCCTACATATTTCTTCAATGTGGCTTTGCCAGTTCAATTTTTGGTCAAAGTATATACCGAGGTACTTTAATTCCGTGACTGTTTTGATTTTCTTGCCATCGATGTGCACACCTATCGCTCTTTTTAGTTGCCCCCGCTTGTCTTTTCGTGTGCATGTCATTGATGCACACTTTGCACGATTTATCGGTAACTTGTGATTAATGCTCCATTCCTGTACTTTCTGCACTACCTTATTTGCCTCTTTGGCTAGGTGGTCACAGTTTTTATTGGCTATCATGATCAGCAGATCATCGGCGAAAGCTTGAATTTTTATGTCCGTGGATTGTTCTATTGTATACAGTAATCCATCGAAAACCAGGTTCCAGAGGCCCGGACCACATCGTGATCCTTGTGGGCAACCTCTGTGTACCGTACTACTTACCGAGATATTGTTTGTGGTGAATTCCACCCGTCTGTCCGTAAGATAGCTCTTCACCAGGTTAGTAATGTTCCTTGGGAAGTCCACCTCCTTTAACCTGTAGAGCATGTTCGGCCACCATAGGTGGTCGAAAGCCTTTTTGTAGTCAATGCTGATCATTATAGCATGTTTGTTGTTCTCCCGAGCATTTTTAACAAAGTTTTTGGCGTTTAGAATCGCCTCGACTGCTGACCGCCCCTTCCTAAACACGTACTGGCTGCTATTCATGCAATCGGTTTTAAACAGATGGTGGTTTATTCTATCTATCATTAGGCCGTCAAGAACTTTCCCTAGCACAGGTAGAAGGCTGATCGGTCTGTAATCATCAGGGGACTGTGGGTTATCTCGTTTTGGAATGAATCTAATATTTCCCGTTTTCCAGTTTGTCGGGAATATCCCCATTCGCAGGCACTCATTGAATAGGTGGACAAACGCCATCGGTATCTCCTCAAATCCGGCCTTAACCATTTCTGCCATTACTCCATCTCTTCCTGGGGCCTTTCCGTTCGCTAGTGTTTTTATTGCTTTCCTTACTTCACTGAAAGTGAACATTCTGTCGTTTTCTGTTCTCGGGTCTTGTTGGCTCTGTAGCCGCGTCAGTTTATGGATTTCTAGGTCGTCTGCAGTTGAGTCCTGAGGGAAATGGTGTTTCAACAAGTTTTGGATATTTCCTTCTATATCACCAAGGTTGCGTTCCCTATGCTCTTCGTTACCAGGTGTTATGTCTGGGATTCGCAGCCTTTGTCTTCTATTTACTATCAGGCGGTATGGAGTCTCCCAAGGCCCTTTGGCGTTTGTGCTGGTGCAGAATTCTCTCCATGCCCTAGTGCGAGCTGTATTGATCTTCTTCTTGTAGTCTTTTAATTGAGCCCTATATTCTATTTTTAGCCTGTTTTTGGTCTCTTCATTCTTTGATCTTGTTATTTTCCTTCTTGTTTTGTTTATATCCTTTTTTGCTCTTGTAAGCTCAGCTGTCCACCAATGTGTTTTTCTTTTCTTTGTCTTCCTAGATATGGTGGCTTGTTTACCTGCGCTTTGTAGCGCCTGTGTGACATGATTTGCGTATGTGTCCACACCCCCCTGGTCAATGATGGTTGGGAAGTGGAAGTTTTCCCATCTCTTACTAAAGATCTGTTTGAAGAGTTCCCAGTTCGTGTTCCTCACATTTATCTCGATGCTTCTATCTTCTGTGTTCTTAGTATTTATGATCTGGGTAAAGATGTAACGATGGTCACTGGCTGATGGCCGAAGCAGAGTCTCACAGCTTGTGACCAACTGCGCCAAGTCTGCCGAGACCAGGCAGACATCCGTCCATCCATCTGCATGGGGAGTGTGGAACGTTGGGTGGGTGGTCATATTAACCGAGACGAGTTGGAATTCGTCCATTAGGTTTGCTAGTAGGTGGCCTCTATTATCTTCTTCCTTATGGTACCATATGGCCGATTTGGCATTGACGTCGCCTGCTAAGATGAGATTCTTGTGATCTACTTTCCTGATAACATGCTCGAGTGAGCTAATTCCACTATTGTCATCCATATCCGGTGGAAGGTAGGCATTGACAATAAAGACTGGTTTTTCCTGATGAATAACTGCCGTCGTAATTAAATTAGTAGAAAGCTCAGGGATTAGTGCAATATCAATCTTTTGGTTGCAAACTATTATACCGCTTTTCGGTCATGAGTTCATTTTTTTATGTAATACGCTCCAGCCACTATACCACACTATTGTGTGCTGAACAGTGTAGGGCTCTTGTATAAGAAGCAAATCTGCATCGAGTTCATTGGCCGCCTCAATAGTTAATGAGCCAGCTGCCTTGCAGCGTTCGGTGTTAATCTGTAGAATGTTAATGTTTCTAAGATCCATCGGGGCAATGATATGAATATGATTGATCAATGTGGCTTATGTTGCTAAAGTAGGTACAATACGGTTACATTCCATAGTTCGTTTTACTGACGGTTTGTGCTTTTATCTTCTGTAGGAGTGTACATTCCCTGCTAAACGCATTGTGATCTGTTGCTTTCCTTTTTTCCATTGGGACTTCCCTATTTGCCTTCCTGCAGTTTATGCACGTGTTTTGTCTCGCCGTTTACACTCGGAATATCTGTGGTTTTTGCCACAGTGGCTGCATTTCTGTTCTTCTGTACAATCCCGGGCATAGTGATTGAAGCTGCAGCATTGATAGCAGCGCAGTACCGGTATGAAATCATCGATATTTACGTTTGCCCAGGAAAGTGATATACGTTTATTTGCTATAAGGGTGTTTCTAATTCTGGGGGATACAGACAAAACGATGTGCCGGCAATTTTCCCGGCATTTCCCATTTTTAAGGACAGTGCTGATCGTGCATTCCGCAGATATTTCTTCCTTGTCAAGGTCTCTCCATATATCGTTTTGACTTATCATTGCTTCCAAGATTTTTTCTTCTTGTATTGAGTTCGGTACATTTAGCAGGATGACTCTGGGTTTTTTCCCCTCTGAGGTCCTACAGTTTATCCTCTTTTCGATTCCTGGAAGCTTTTCAATCGCTTCCTTGAGCTTTTGGCAATCTTTTTTGTTTCCTACTCTTACACAAACTCCGTCATTCTTGACAGGCCATACCACTTTAACGTGTATACCAAGCTGATGGGGTTCCAAAGTGTTGAGGATTTCTGTTGTCACCTCTTTCATGTTAACTCTCGGGCCCTCCCCTGGGGGCTTGGGGTATAGTAGCACTGCATGATTCCCTCCAGGGCCGTCCATATGAAGTTTTGTGTTCAATGATTTGCTTATGACCCTTGTGGTGTGACTCGGTTTGTCCACTTTAACCATATCTGAATATAGTGGTTTAGATTCTGTTTTATCATTGATCAGCTTCTTTCTTGAGCGAAGCTCTCTGATAATACCATATGCCTGATTGAGGCAACCGAATAGACAAGATACACTGTTTCTTATTTCCCATCGTTGTTTCTTTTTTACGGTACCAATAGCACGTTCCGGGCAGGCATCCATTACCCGGCCGAGGAGATAGCTGGCTTCCCTGAGCAGCTCCTCCTCGACATTCTCTGATGTCTTTAGCAGGCTGTCTTTGGTAGCTTTAGCTTCCTTCAATGTAGTTTCCTCTAAAGGTTCGGTGTTTATATTCAAATCGTGTGTAGTTTCTTCCATTTTGTCTCCCAAGTAGCCTATGTTGACCGCCCGGTGTTCGTAGAAAAGGTGATAGTTAAGAAGCTTTAGGAAGGACTCAGAAAGTCGTTTGAACTATAGTTCGCTGGTTAGCCTGGCAGCGCCGATCGGCTAGATAAAGCTGAAGGCTTGAGTACCCGCCGATAGGCTGGACGACGCCGGAATGTAGATGGTTACTCCGATCGGCTAAGAAACCACGTGTAAGAGACAAACGGCTTTGTTCTTCACCAGTTACCCTTGTTGCACCGTAGTTAGTAGCTCGTATTACTCAAAATTGTGTATACAGTTATGGTAGAGTTCTCTGTTAACGGTTTACAGTTGAGCCTGATCACAATGATACGATACGGGGCCCGCGATTAACACAGTTATGGCCGAGTACCCCGGTTTGCGTAACAGCGCAAAGATAGTTTATAAAAGTACAATAAATAAATAGAAGTACAATAAATAGCTCGATGTATAGAGCTTGAATTGTTGATTCCAGTGATATAACGCACAAAAGAGACTACTCAATAGGAGCGAAGACCAGGTCCACGTGGTTCCCGGAGAACAATAGTCTTTGTTCTGATCCCCATAGAAAACGCCAATACTCCATATGAGAGCTCCGGATTGATATAAAGTTTGTTAAAAGCACTTACGGTGTTCCTGTTGACCCTCTGTACCAACGACGATCCTTAGTTTAACGTTCGGGGCCCGCAATAGGCCCGAAAGTCTTCTATGATGATCTCGTTTATAATTCCTTTAAGAACGTCCTATACACAAAAAAACGCATATCATCTGAAAGTTCTCGTTGAGACGAATCCAGTGGTGTATATAAATCCATTCGTAACCCAAAAACACCTCCGATGGAACGATCGATAGTAAGAGCACAAATACACACAGCCCTCTCAGATCGCGACCCTACCGGGACTCTTACCAGTAAATATTGACAAATGGAGTAGATTTTTGGCACGAATGTTTTCTTTATATATAGGAATGGAAATAGAGGGTAGGAGGTTCACATTTACAAATTGTGGAGCTTATTTTCACAATAAATAAATAAACAAACAAACATATATATGCGTGTGTTTGTTTGTTTATTTTTATTTATTAAAACTTTAATACTTTAATTAAATGTAAATAATTAAATTTTATAATTGGAAAATTATGTTTATATAATTATTGTTTAGATAGGGAGTTTAGATAGTCCAGTACTGAATGATGTTGATTCTGCTAGCAATAGTAATCAGGAAGGACATGAACCATTATGGGTAAAAGAGATTCAACCAACTATGAGTTCTTCCACAGATGATGAAAGTGGTCAGTATCTTTTTATTTTATTCTAGATCAATTAAATCTACAATTTAAACAAATTTATAACTATTTTTATACTTTATTTATTTAAATTCAGAAGTTAATTATGAATCAGGAATCACTAAATATTTTAACATACACCATATTGGCCTGAATATTAGTTGATGTTTTTTTTCCAGTTTTAAAGGGGAAAAATTGCTCTGACCTATATTCAAGGCTGATTAAAATTTTCTTCAGTTTTGATAACTGTTTGATATATATTGTACAGAGTTAAAATGACACTAACATTTAGTGTGTCAATTGTTTAGATGTTAAACATCAATCAACTTTTGACCTGTTATGCTGTAGCCTGTAAACTGATCATGGAAATTAAGGTGTTTGGCATGATTGTAAATAATCAATTAGTCAATTGTTCAAAAACAGTCAACTAAACTAAGCCAATTTGTTTTGTGGCATGCAACAGAATCAGTCAGTTTTGGTAACTTATACAGAAATTTTATTTTGGTAACTTTTTTATTTTACTCCTAGGAGTCTCAACCAATCATCAAAAATTTGTGGAAGATTACTGAAAATTTACCATAAAATTTACCATAAAATTTAATCTGTTGTAAAATGTAATTTATATTGTAATTAAATCAAATGACCGCCATAATTAATTGGGCTATTACTAATAATCAGGATTAGCTATCATGCAAGGCTGCAAACTAAATCGTCTAAAATTGGGGAAGGTTGCCAAAAATTTACCATAAAATTTATTCTGTTGTAAAATGTAATNTTTGGTAACTTATACAGAAATTTTATTTTGGTAACTTTTTTATTTTACTCCTAGGAGTCTCAACCAATCATCAAAAATTTGTGGAAGATTACTGAAAATTTACCATAAAATTTACCATAAAATTTAATCTGTTATAAAGTGTACATTTCTATTGTAATTATAAATTTATATACTTAATATGATTATATACTTTAGACTAAAAAAGCTTTATAAAACATGTTGTAGTTATAAAGAAAAAAGGAAGTGAGGAAAAAAAAAACAACTTTTGTAAAAGATCAAAGTTTATAGTTTTTATGATATAAATGTTGTTCTATTTACAGTTCTATTTTTTGTATCCAAATAAGTTATTTCTAATAACAAAAGTATTTATCAAACAATTTATTTTGCTGATAAACATTTTTGATTTTTAAAAACAGAAAACTAGAGAGAAGAGTTAAAACTCTTTTAAAACATTGACTAACAACTAGAAATTATTTTGTAGTTGGCAATTGAGCTAAAGGAGCCATTTGAGCTAATTCGTATAATGTCTGTTGTGTTTTGCCAGATACAACTATTTCTGTAGTAAGTAATTATAACTGATTAGTGAGCATTGGGAATGAGAACGACATGCTAATTGAGTGTTATAGAACAAACTATAAAGAAGTTTAAAATGTGATAAGAGTTTTCTGTTGATTGTCAGATATAAACATTTTTGTAGTAAATTACTAGCCAAGTTGTTTTGTGTCTGTAATATAAATGACAAATTAATTTGGTGCCATCAAAGGAAAAGTGGTCGATCTTTACTATGAGCACCGTCATGGCGGCTGTTTCCTTTCTTCTGTTTGTTGGAATCAGAGAACAATGGGGACGCATGTTCTAACCTAACCTATTCTAATAAATTACCAAATTATTAGAATAGGTTAGGTTAGGTTAGAATGTGTGTCTCCACTGTTCCCTGATTCCAGCAAACAGAAGAAAGGAAACAACTGCCATGACGGTGCACATAGGTAAAGATTAACCAGAAAAGTTTATTGAAAAAAGTATTGAAAAACATTAAAAAATAAAATAACATATTTATTTATATTATCCAATTTATCTATTCTCTCTAGCATGATAATTTAATCGTGTTTTTTTAAGGAATTGTAAAATTACAAATATGTCAAATTTATTTATTATTCATTTTAAGTGGAAGCAAATTAAGTACATTTCATTAGATGCTATTTGATAATATGCCAATTAACATCAAGTTGTTAAGGTTTAATCATATTATCAAATATTAAGTGGTTTTTTTAGGAGACTGAAAAATATTGACCAATTAAGCAGAATAACCTCTAAACTAGAGTCAATATATTATATATAATGTAACTGATATTCCATAAATACAGTATTTTTATTATGTGCATATGGATAAATTATATTTTTATTACTGCATACAATACACATTTATTATTTGAATTTTAATTCCAACAAACATAGCTTACTCTATTTTAAGAGTTATGAAAAATATTGATAAATTTTCATTTGAGAACATCTATTAATAAAATTAATTCTATATTCCAAAGCTGTTAATGATCTAAAATCCTCGTCATTGTTTTTTGAACGCAAACAAGATAACAATGCACTGTCTGTAATGCTTCTATGGCTTGTAACTTAGTGATGTAGTTTCTCCACCTATTATCTTCACTGTATACATACACATTTTTCTTCTCTAATACTTGTATTGCTAATTCTTCTTTACTAGCTTGTGAATATATTTCAATATCTTTATTCATGTCTATATGTGTACTTTCATTGGGAGTAGGATATTCTATCTGATTTCTTTTAACAAACTTGATAAGGCATTGGAATTAGAATCCCAGTCTTGAAATTCATTCTATTGGCACAAGGTAAGTTCTTTTCTATTGTTTTCTCAACTGAAATCTTGCATGCTTGAAAGAATTTGCAGTTGTTAAAGTCAAAACAAAATTCCAACTTTTTTAAATGTAATTTGCTGCATCCAAACAGAAATATCATATTTCTTATTTTGTCTGATTGCTTTTAAGAGATCTTATACATGAATTTTTTATAATCAAGTTTAAAATAATCTCTTGATCAAGTGGTGAAGAAGTGCCGTTACATTTGGAGGTATTGAGATTAATTCAGTAGCTTTTAAAATTTCTACTCGTATGTGGGCAGTACAATTGTCAATAAATAATCATTACTGAAACCACACCATTAGTGGTTTCATTTTTTTTCTATGTCATTCATGCTTGCCCAAAGCAAAATTGTTAAATGTTATTTACTCAAGCTTTCCTCCTCCACATTTTTCATTTTTAAATGTTAAAATTTTTAGTGGATAAGACAATAAAATAGACCCATCTTGTCCAAATTGAACACATCTTATTCTGAATACCAAGGCAAGACATTCTTCAGTGTTATTTCTTTCCAGTCTTCAGTTTTATCACAGATATTATTAACTGCAGCTGCTTCTCCACTTATTTTTTTAAAGGAGCGACTATGTCTTTCTTTAAAGTGTCCATTCCATCCATTACTAGCTTTAACACTTTTTATATGTAGTTTTTTTTTTATCACTTTCTATAATTTTCTCTTTAAAGAACTGCACCAGAAATTGGAATGTTTTTAGATCTTACATATTTCAACCAGTAAAGAACTTCTTTGACATCTTTAAATTTAGAATTATGCAGTCTTTCCTTTTTATTTTCTTAACTTTGCAATTGACTATCTTGATTCTTTCTTTGCAGGTATAATATTCAAAGTAGTCTGAGGAATTCTATGCTCTTTCGCAAAAGCTATCTTTGTGCAGTTTGATTTCTCACAAAGATTAACTAACTTTTCTTTTTCTTTCAAAGATAATGACTGGACTTTTTTGTTTTTGAGACATTTTTAAGTAGAGAACCATAATGCTTTTATGCTATAATATTTATGCTGTTACTTTATGATTGTGTTATGTTTTAGTAAGAGAATAGTGTTGCCAGATATTGTGTTCAATGTGTGTTCAAAATAAACAGAATAAACAAAAAAAATCTTAAAGAAATTAAACATTATCTGGATTATACTTTAAAAATCAAACTTTGTTTTGTGAACAAAAATAAATCTAAAATGATGGTATTATTATACTATGAAAAGTTTTACTTTAAATAAAAATAACCTTTTTAATCTCAATAAGAAATTTATTAAAATTAAAATGTTTTCTATCAGTTTGATTGACTTTCTTTAGTTACAGTTCTTCAGACTTTTCCTGGACAAATGGAAAAAATAAAGCAATAAGAGTAGACAAATTGAAAGATTAAGAATTATGACAGCATAACTATTTTTGTTTAGTTTAATTGTTATATTTTAAATCAACAGTTTGAAAATCATAATTTAATAAAAAAACAAAAATCATATGTTTAAAATTATGCAAAAAATTCACTTGGTTACATTATCCCACAACATTATATATATTTGAATTTCTTTAAATAAATATAACATTTTTTCCTTGTTAAATTAAATTTTTATATTTGTTCTGTGTTTGTAATTGTATTGTCTTTGTGATCGCTTCTTAATTATATAGATAACTCAGTAGAAGTAATTGAATTAACAGATGATAATATAAATGAAGATAAGTCTCCAGAATTACATAGGTTATCATCATCTACTTCTACGTTTTATTTGGATCTCAATGTTAAAGAATCACGTGTTAGTATTTCTCGACCAAGATATAACGAAACTACTGTGAACATCAGCAATGTGGAAAGCAAAAAGGAAGATGGTAAAGTTAATTTGTATTAATATTTTTTAATTGAAAATTGCTAAATGAAGAAATTAATGTGCTCTATTGAGTTAGTTTGAGTTGATGATTTGATTTTGATTTTGCTTGTTGGGTGATAATTATATCTTTTAGCAGTTTTAAATTTTCATTTATATTTTGAGGATATGCCATTTGATCAATTATTGAGCTTTTATGTTTAAATTCAAAATTACAAACTAAAATCATGAATGATATGTTTCTTATGAAATTATGTATGAATACTTCTTGTAATTAATAAGCAAATTATAATAATTATTTAAATACTTAATTTTTAGTGTCATCCACATTAGTGAGAAAACCTGTAGGATTAGAGCCTGTGGAAATTGTCAGGGGAGAAAATGCTCAGGAAATGATGATCAATGAAGAATTTTTACAAGGTATATGATAATTTTTATTTTATCAATATACATTATGTAAAAAGTTTCAAACCAGTTTTTAAAATATATAATATTAAATACATTAAAGATAAAAATTTAATAGAATTCTTTTTAGAAATCATAAATACAAATGAACTTATCCTGTTGAACTATGAATTAAAATGTTTATCTATCAAATTATTTTCTCTTTGATTACAGTTTTTTAAATTATTTGATTTAATTAAATGATAAGTTTCTCAAGAACAACTTTACTTATTTGAAAATAGTCGTTTCATATTGATTTTATAAAATTGATACCTATAAAGAAAAAGTTGTAAGCAATACTTTTAAGGATATTACAGAATTGATTAGAAACAGATTTAATAAAATATAATAAATCTAAAAATCTTAATGAGGTTTAACATTGTGTATTAAATATTAACATCTATGCATGTACAAGAGTCAAAAGTGAAAAACTTAACTTTGTGTACAGGAACAGGAAAAACAATTTGAAACAAAAATTCTAAATTTTACAACTAGTTTTGACAGAATGATTCACATAATAATACTATTGTCATTTGAGCTTTGCTGCTTAGAATGATTATGTGAGAATCTTTTTCTTTGAATTCTGAAGATTTTGAATGTAGGTAGAAAAATTAATTTTTTACAAATAGTGAAATTATGATATGCAACCTTTTTGTAATAAATCACCACAGACAAATGAGATTAATATAACAGCATTAGAAATTAAGAATGTCTGCTAAAAAACCAGCTCTAGACTTCTGGTCTTGTAACTAACTCTGTTGTCCAAACCGTAAGGTACATATTTTTTTTATATTCTACCATGTAATATACAAAAATTACTACACTTAAATAAAAAATTAAAGCTTTTTTATTGCTTGCACACTATACAGCCATTCATTAGGTCTACACATTATAAATCTTTAACATCTTAGGCAGCCTACAAGGTGTTTGTTTACTCCAGGTGCCAACTTAGAAACACTTAGTAGGTGTATAAATTCTTATTGGATGTACAGTAATACCTCGACTTACGCTACCCCGACTTATGCGAACCCGGAGTTACGCGATTTTCAAATCTTGTCAATTCGTCTTTTGTTTGAGCACCACACAATTCTTGATTATTCAGACCCCCCACACTATTGTTCAGCTTACGTGTTCGGAGTGTCGCGTGGAATCGACACACAGCTACAATTTATTTTGAGTTATTTATTTTTGTGTTTGTTATATCTACGGAGACTTGAGAGACTCGATGTGGTGATTTCTTGTAACCGTGAATGAATCAAAAGACGAGATAAGATTAACAAGAACATTTATTAGCTTATATACAACTGACTTGGATTTTACACAAATTGTGAAATTATACCTCGACTTACGCGAATTCGACTTACGCGGTTATCGCTCGGTCCCACCTATCACGTAAGTTCGGGGTATTACTGTATTCAAAATTGGTCAAAAAAATTTTGTAATGAAGTAAAATTATATTTAAAAACTCAAACAAACAGAATTTGGTCTTTAAAAAAATATGCAAAAAGCTATAATTGGTTACAGTATTAAAAATTACATTAAGGATCATAAACTAAAATCCTTTCTAATAGGTATACGAAACTAATGACTAATTGGATATTGAATAAAATTTATTATTTAATACTACATATAAGTAAAATAAAACTATATTCTTTAATATTGTAGTAGAGTACAATAATGAATGTTATAATGGTATTGTATATTTTATATTAAAGTATTTCGATATAAAAGTAGAGTAAGAATGACAGTAAACAAATAAGGTAATAAACTGTTATAAGTAACTGTTAAAAATAAGTTTGGAAGATTGCATTGAAATTTTAAAGATGAGTAAACTGCATAATTATATACAGTAATATCTCGACTTACACTACCCCGACTTACGCGATCCTGGAGTTACACGATTTTCAAATCTCGTTGATTCGTCTTTTGTTTGAGCACCACGCAACTCTTGATTACTCACTCCCCCCACACTATTGTTCAGCTTACATGTTCAGACATTTCGCGCGGAATCGACACATAACTACAATTTATTTTGTATTATTTATTTCTGTGTTTGTTATATCTACGGACTCGAGAGACGCTATGTGGTGATTTCTTGTAACCGTGAATGAATCAAATGACGAGATAAGATTAATGAGAACATTAATTAGCTTACATACATCCGACTTGGATTTTACACAAATTGGGAAATTATACCCCGACTTATGCGAATTCGACTTAGGCAGTTATCACTCGGTCCCACCTATTGCGTAAGTTCGGGGTATTACTGTATAACACAGATACAACACGATGGAAACAAATGAAAATAGATACTGGAAATGGAGTCACTCACTACTTCACAGTTTTACTATCATCATTTTCGAATTTTTTACAAATATGCTTTGAAGAAATTCAAAATGCTGGGATTATTTAATTTGGACATTAATATGGATACTAAAGAATATTATTCACTGTAGTGAGAATTTGATACAGTGAGTTCAAATAGTAGAGTATGGCTGGGTTTTTATATTTTTTTCTAACAGCAATCATTAAATATCAAAAAATATTTGGTGAATTTTCATTGAAGCTAATAAATTATTCTTTTAAAATAGCAAAAATATTTAATAGTTTACCAAATATTTTAATATTTTAAAATACCTGTGTTTGTATCCAATTAGTTTTCTAATATTTATTTACAAATAAAATATTTTTTGAAAACAAGTGCACTAGAAATTGACTTTATGTAAAAATGTAAAACATAATTTTAATGTTATATTTGTAAGTCTTTTCTGAAGGTGACAAGCAAAAATATTTGTATATATTAAACTTTTTTAATTCTTAAATAAATGTTTTATTTTATATTTATTTTTAATGTATAGAAGTATGGAGGATTCTATATATATTAAGAAATTGTATTTGAAAAGATTACTTTGACCAATGAAAAAAAATTTTTTACTTATAAAAATGTGTGCTTTTTTGAATAAATTTGAATTTATCCATTATAATCAGTAAAAAAAATTAAATAAATGAAAGCAAAATTAATAATTAAAGGATTTAAATTAGAATTATTTATGAAGAAATACATATTTATATAATTTACTATTTTGAATATTCTTGATTATTAGGGACACTTTTTGCTGCTCATACCGATGGAAAGTACGCTGACGATTTTTCTGCACCTGCTGGATGGCATAATTCTCAAACTCTTCGAGAAGATAATGGAGAAAAATTGGCTTTTGAAAGAATGAAGTAAATTATTTTTATTTCAATAAGTTGTAGTTTAATAGGATTAATCTTAAATTACTTTTTTTAAGTAGATAAATTTTTTCAATTTTTTATTAAATCAGTTTTTAAAATAATTCTAAAACAAATTACAAATGGTTAAGAATATACAGGGTGGGCCATCAAAAATGAAACGGCAGAGTTATTGTGTTCGTCCAAGCAAATCGCTCAGACAGGTCGATTTTATTTTCAAGGGGGACATCTTCTGCAATAAAGTTTTTGCAATAATACAACAGACAACAAAAAATTTTAAAAACTCATTAATTTTTTATTAACTAATTAAACACTTATTTTGGAATAAAGTAACGCAAACTATTAACAAACATAAAATAAGCCTTTTAAGGGAAAAAAATACTTTCCCTTGAGAATAAAATCGACCTGTCCGAGCGATTTGCTTGGACGAACACGATAACTCTGCCATTTCGTGTTTGTTGGCCCACCCTGTATAAAACTAATTAACTTGAAAAGTTTCAAAATTTAAACCTAGGATAATTTGTAAAAAATGTAATTACAGTAGAGCGTCGTTTATCCAAAAGTCGGTTATCTGAAAGCATTCCAGTCGGCAAATTTAAATTTTCGCTAGTGCTGTGGCACTGCAATCTTTGGGCTACTCTAATATTTTTTTCTTGTTGGTGTGTGTTTTTAGCTGGCAGCACTGGCACTTTTGTGCAGTGTTTTTCTGAGCATTGTGTGTCGTGCTGAATCGAACGTTTTTGATACTAGATCTTCTTCTAAAGTATATATTTTGTGGTTTTTATATTTTTCAATATATTTATTTTGTTTGTAAGAAATAAATAAATAGTTTTTAACTATACAACAGCCATGATTATTATTTTAAAAAGTATACGTTAGGCTTAACATCGACGAAAATTCAACGCGAAGCGACACGCAGCAGAGAAAAATTTCAACACGAGATAGGTTAATATATTTTTTCGTACATAATCGGTTATCCGAAAAATAAGTTATCCGAACAACCTCAGTCCCCAATTGATTCGGATAAACGACACTCTACTGTATATACATTTTTGATATGTATGGTAGAACGTTTGCATCTAAAAGATTATTGTTTGTTATTTGTCTGAGTTATTTTAAATATTAAAGGTATAAATATTCTGAAGATCATTTGATTACTTACTGACATTAACATTTTTAAAGAATGACAATAATAATAAATTAGTTAACTGCAAGCCTAGCAGATCTATGCAAAGCATTTAAAAAAAATTTTTTTTTTTGTAACATAGTTGATTAGTTTTACAATTTATATACAGAAAATCCTCATTAATTTGAACTCTGATAGTTCAAAATCCTGTAAAACTGTAACTGTACTATTAGTCCTGGCTAGGGATATAGAGATTTATACTGCAGTGCAGTGTTTTAATATAAAAGTAATGTTTTTAATCGACTGTACTGATCATCCTCAGATGAAATCAAATTATATATTATATTAGAACAAACTACAAATGGAATGTTTGAAGAAGAATGTAGTGAGTGTTTGGAATGTTTTTAAAGATTCATTTTTCCTCAAATGTTCCATTTGCAACGGAATTTGAAATTTTGTTCCAAAGACAGCTGGAATTCTAACGGATCATTACGAATGGAACATAGCCTGATGAAGGGTCCAGTGGGATCCGAAAACGTTAGCGTAAGCAATTGAACATATTTCACGCTGGTTATAGGTTTGTAGAAAGTTTATTATTAGATCTGCTGGGCTTGCAGTTAACTAATTAATTTATACAGTAGACCCCCCCTATAACACTGTAGATAATTCTGTGTTATATGAATTCCATGTTGTACGAGTCACTTAGATTTTACAAATATGTGCGCCAGGCTGTGAACGGCTCATGTATTTGTAAAATCTAAGTGACTCATACAACATGGAATTCATATAAAATGGAATGATTAACAGTGTTATAGGGGAATCGACTGTAATTTCAAAATTTTATTTTACTGCAGTTATTCTGAATACAGTTGTCCCTTGATAATCCGACAGGTATGGGACCAAAGGTGTGTCAGATTACCAAAAGTGTCCGGATTACCGAAAATAATTACATATTTCGCATTGTTTTGCTAGCAGTAACTTACAATATTCTCTACTCCAACTGTTCGAACAGAACTGCTCACATAAAACACACGAAATGTGTGTCATCGAGTA